TTTTCATACTCTTCTGAATGTATTCTATTGTCAGACGCTCATAAATCGCATTAATTGTGAAAATATTACTCAACATGAAGACATTAAAGCAAAACAACTTTTTTTTTTATTACTTCTTGTGCCTCAGAAAGTATCACATTGTACTTTTGTGTGGTAGTCGCAGAATTGCAGCGCTGTGTGCAAGTCCTCCGCTTTATTTTTAGCCAACACGAGCAACACTTTTTCTTGAGCTCCATCACCTCCTAAATTCATGGATAATTCTTCCATATGAATCTTCATCTAGGCAGGTATTTGGCGCACAATGGGCTCAGATGGAGACGTCAAGGTGGCTCCGAGTAATGCTCCCTAAATCATAGGGGTTAAAGCAACACAAATCCCATTATACATTTCTGATAGAATCAAGTGAAATCCTTCAACAGAAGCTCACATGTTGCCTCCATCCGGCCTCACCGGCTCGTGGAAAATTGATGGGAATAAACTTGGCATAGAATTGCTCTTCGCCTTTGATTTCCACCCTCGGCATTTTCAAGTGCGAGGCCTGCAAAGTTCTTCTTCTCACTGTCAAAAAAACAACACAAGAGTTTGAGAAAATCAGCAGAAGAAATTCTTCAATTCACTCTGAATTATTATCCACTTGTTCTACGCAGTATATTTTGTTCATTCGCATATGAAAAATTTGAAAATAATTTCTGAAAGAAATGAAATTAACAAAAATTGTCTGATGGGTAAATCAGATTGAATCAATGAAGTGATTTTTCCTCCATTCGCAGCTTAAATCAATTCCATTTAGAATCACAAAAGGATTCGCGTGTGTAAAGTCGTAAATATCGAAGAGTTATTTTTTTGCTATTTGTTTGCTTTAACAATCAATTCATTCTCACACCCAAAGAGAATGCGAAAAAAAGGAGTATTTGTACTAATTCACAGAAATCCATTGTGTGTGTGTGCAGAAGGAGAGAATGAAAATTCAATTTTCTCCTAGTGAGATTTCTGTGTCAACAGGTAAAAAGTTGAAAGTTTAATCTCTCCATATATACATATGTGAGTGTGTAGAGATTTTCAATTTGTACTTGTGCTCTTTTTCACGTCAATTTTCCCACCCACAACTGATGTTGAAGTGTCTATTGAAGGGGAGGAAAATTCATACCCACCCACTCAATATCGCCTTACCCGGGGTGAAATGCGAGGGCGAGTTGAATTTTCTATTTTCCTCAAGTATGTGTTGTTAAAGTGCAGGCGCACAATTCCAAAATCGCGTGACTCCCAGTCGTTTCCGACAATTTACCATTTAATGATACTTTGAACTCCTTTGTCAAGACCCAAAGCGCCGCAGGTTTTTGTGTATACGCCAAAACCCAAGGGATTAACACACAATATTTCTCCATTTGCTCGCACCCCAAAAATAGCCCCAATGAATAAATAGTGAGGAAAAATTTCTCAATTTTCAACTTCCTTTTGTCATTGGTAATATTTATTAATTTCTTTATGGTTATGGTGGAGAGTGTGGAGAAAAAACTTCTCAGCAGCAAAAGTTCGCTTGTGTAGTTCTTATCGGGGAGCTTTGGGCCGACATGTTGCTGGGCTTTCGTGCGCGAATAAAAGGGCACGATAGAGAGAGAGAAACACGGCATAATTATAAATGGGGGAGGAAAGTAAAGTTTCATAAGGGTGCATTTATTGTGTTATTGTTTCAATTTTGGAACTCGGTGGAAAAATACAGAAACCAAGCGTATGAATCCTAAGACAATATCCATAAAGCTACTTCTTCTACACCCACACTCACTCTCTCTCTCTCTCTCTCTCTCTTCGCATCAGCAACAACATAATAATGAAGGTGGCTCAAGGAAAATTTTCAATTTAACATTTTCTCCCTTTTTGCTCTCTCTGTGTCCTTTTTACCTCTTCGTTATCTGTCACACACCCTAATGGCAAATGTCCCCCAAGTGTGCGTCTCGTCTGCGTGTTTTCCCTCAACTCCTCCACCACTACCCATCTTTATGGTCCACCCCCTCCGACTTGCAAGATTTTATCTCATGGTTGTCGTTTCAATCTTTTGGTTTTTCAACGATGTGCCACTTTTTCTGCCTACCTGTTTGCCACTCTCATGATTTTTCACAAGGCACTCGACTTTCGCCACACAGATTTTCACGGTATTTTCGTCAGGAAGAATAGAATAAGAGACTGAAGCTGAGGAATTATATTTCAATGGGCTTCTATCTAAGGGCCCAAATAAGGGGTTCTCGCTTGACTTTATCTCACCTTTCAATTTCTACCATCGCAGAATATGCTGAGAAAATACACCTTCACACAGAGATGATAAACAACCATCATCTCCTGGATTTTAGTGGAATACAAATTTTTACAAATATTCTACAAAATCCATCCACAAAAGCCACAAGCATTTAATTACAATTTTCTCATGCGAAACAAACTGTACGAAAAGGTGAAAAGCTCTTACTATTGTTATATAAGCTTCGGAGTTTCCACACAAACTTACTTCATAAATTGAGAAAATCCAAAATTTCACTCCAACCCGCAATTCCTCCCCTGCAGATACTGTAATTTATCGTACTTCATGCATGAAGCCACCCCTTCTCCGGGGGCCACACGGGAGATTCTCTGGCGCTACTCTCCCTTAAAATGGCAGCCGCCAAATCCCAGTGATATGAGCGCGTCACCCCAATCTGCACCGCCCCCCGAGGAGAGAGAGAGAGAGCGAGCGAGAGCGAGCAGGTGAATGAATTTCAACTGTTGTGATGCTGGTGCCCGCAATATTATCTTCATTTGAATATAATTTTGGTGTCGTTTCGAACAGGTGACGTTTTATGAGTCTCCACGAAAATATATTTCGTCCCCATCACAATAGATCCACTGGTCACCCAACCCATCCACACCGCAGAACGACTGATGAAGACGGGTGAACTCAATTTTGCCACATTTCGCCATATATTGCCCTATGTTTCCACCGTCATGCCAGCGTCTCTCTTGAATTGCTATTGAGAGAAGTGTTGCGATATGTTGTGTCGCTGGTCCATGCCTAAGTGGGGTTCACAATTTCGTGAAACATAAGAGATTGGGGGATGAAACATTGCAGCCCTTTTCCATGTGTACACAGAACTCGAAACATTTCCATTTCGAAATATACCAGTGAAAAGTGTGAAAGTTTCACACAATGCCGGACGTTTTATTAGAAATGAACAAGAGAGACAGATAAAAAGCTCTATACCCAACAATATATTTACCTTTATTTATTTACATACACCACCTTTTTTGGGTGTCTGCGAATTGAAATATCAGCCTCGCAGTGCCGAGGATTACGTAACAGATTTGTTTGAGGGAATGTAACATGATTCTGCTCTGCGCCATTCCAGCACTTTCATTTTAAAATTTTCCACCGGCACACATGTGAATTATTAAATTTTTTCGAATGCACTCTTCTTTGGCCAGGAAATGCTGCTGCTCAAATCTACTCTTCACAGAGAGAGAGACTCATGATTTACATGCAATTTCTACATCTCTATAAAGAAATTAGAACGAAATTCTCACACTCTTTGACATGGAATTCTGTGCCAGAGTATTGAATTGCAGGATTTGCAAAAGCACCCTTTCTTTAGTTGTATAACAGCTTCCACATCAAGAGGAGAGTCTTTCATGCAATTGAGCAGCAAATCAGTTGGTTTAATTTCAAGTGAATCATGAATATTCAAGCTTTAACACAAATTGATCGTATAAAATGAATAATTTCATTCACACTGCGAGTGTTGTAATGACAAATAAACCACAGGTTAAATTAATTTTGCACTATTTATGTTAAAATGCAGCATCACTTGTATTAATTTAATTCGTAGAAAAATTCACTGTAAAAGCACATTTTTAGTTTTGGCAAAATATTATTTGGTATCAAAATTCCACATATTTTCCTCAATTCTGCAACCAAATCAATCAATTATATTTCCCAACAAAGTTATTTAATTAGACGACTGATGTTTAAGTCTTAATGTCAGAGTTTGTGGAATTTCCCAAGAACTCCATTGACACAGTATATTGATGAATTTTCTCATGAGAATTTCCAATGCCAGTTATGATGGTGAAAAATTACGAAGAAGATGCAATTTAAGTGCATAAGAATGTTCAACTTTGATACAATCTCAAGTGGGAAAACTTAACGCTGATGCTTTGGCAAAGGAAAAGAGAGATAGTTAAAAATGAACACAGAACTCAGCATTTCCCTATTACAATTAAAATTTAATGAGCACAGTTTTTACAGAAGTACGCACAAACCTGTGAAAATCCAACTGAGTCATCTCAATTAAGGCCCTATTTGGGGGAATTTTTGTGGTTGCATAAACATTTCATACTCATCATTTTCCAGAGATTATACGCAGTGTTTTAGTGAAACTTCCATTTAATTGCTCACATTCGTCGTTTTAAGTGTTCTTTCCAACATGCCACAGAGTGTTCGATGCTAAGCAAGTGTAAAAACTTTCTGACCTAGAGAGAGAGATTGAAAGAGGACATCTATTTTGCCAGTCAGTCAGGGTGGATTTGAGCTTGACTTAGGACGGTCCAGGGATCACCAGAGTGACCGCTTGAGAATATGTGGGGAAGAGGGTCCTTTGCGGGTGGCTACATTTCAAGATGAAGTTGGTAAATTGGGATGAAAGTGAGGGAATCCCCAAGTGTAACATTACATAAGACTGAAGCTGATAAATGGCAAAAGTCTTTCGATATCCCATCGCAAATTATAATTCAAACATTTTAGCAAACTTTGTATTTGTCACTCGGCCGTTAATGCATTGGGACGCTATTCATCATGCCAATTGGGGATTTCGCAAGAAGTTTTGAGAATTGATTAATTGGTAATTAAATTTTCACATCTTCTCTCTCCTGTGATTTCCTCTGCTTTACGCACCAAATGAGAAAATTCATCCCCATTTGTGTGGTTTCGTGGAGATTGTTAATAAGATATTATCCCATTTGTCTCTCAACTGTCCACTCACCTTAACTCCTATGTGAACAGGTGGGAAATCGGCGTGAAGTGCTGGCGGAAGTAGTGGCAGAGGCAGAGGAAGGGGGCAGGACATCATGGCCGCTACCTGGAAGAGAAGAAGAATCACCAATTAATCCACCATTGCGGATTCAATGACAGAGAAAATTCGCTTAAAAACTCAAGACGCTTCTTCTTCTTCTATGCTGAAGACGTTCCTCCACTTTTCGCTGAGAACGCGCGTCTCGCACTCAAAGGAAATGTCTTGGGCGTCTTTGGTGTTTTTTTTCTCTCTCCCTCATCTTGTTCTTTCCTCCTGAAACTTTTAACGTCAGAGCGTAATTAAAGTGAGTGAAAAACAAGCAATAGAAAATTGGCATGTGCGCCATACATGGATGAGGGAATTCTCGAGATTAGTTTACTTAACTTTGCCTGAAATGAGCACATTCCCAACTCGCTTTCCGATATAACACGGCTCATCTTCGCCTCGTTTTTTGCTCCGTCAGAGATTGCATGTAATCAGCATCTATTCTAATTAATTAGCACGATGAGGGGCGAGATTGGAGATGCACTCGCGGAGGTGAAACGGAAAGAACAAGAACGAGAGAGAGGCGAAAAAAAAGAGCTGAAGCTGGGGAGAAGGTAATGTGGTGTTATACATGCTCACAGAGCTCATTTAATCTTAATTGAAAATTTATAATGGCAATTGGAGTGGAGAGGACACGATGATGGAGATGTTACCGACAATCATATTTCACATATATGTTGTTTTAGACAATTCAACAGGCTTCATCTCCAAGCCATATCCAGCAAACTTCAAGTCAATAGAATGCAATTCATTTGCCGGTGGGCACAAAATGATTCTGGGGAAAACATGAAACGGAAATGCGTTGCACAGTCTGTGTGGAAATTGTTGAGGAACTTTCGAAATATCGTCTTGGAGTCGACATGAACTTGATATTCCTTATGTCGGAGATAATTAACCTGTCCAACTTGTTATTACTTAGTCTGGATGTCGGTGAATAACACTTCCATGCGAACTATTACATGAAACCATATAATCCAATATACAACAAAGTGTGCCTATGATTTTCAAATTCACTTTTCATTACATGAAAATCCATGAACGTCAAGATTCTCCCAATTTAAATTCCATAATGAAGAGGACAAGGAGCCAAAAGGAGTCTCTTTCGTGGATCTTTCAATGTAAAGTTTCAAGTAAATTCACCCAGACACGCACGGTTGAAAGTTATTATGAGATTGAATAGGTTGAATCCCAGAGGGAGAATGGCTCTTGCCTTGGGAAAGAGAATAGGTACCAAGTTAAGCCACAGAAACATCCAACTAATTGTATGATAGAATAACTTCACAGGTAAATCCCAAGAAATATGAAATGAAATACCCTCTGAACTGTAACTTCATACACTCTACTTTTCATACCCCAAATTGCACTAAAATAATCCCACTTCTCATTCCCTCATGACACTCATTTGAAGGTATCCTTTTAGTGGAAACTGAATCCACTCCGAATTCATTATAAGAAGAGAACTTTCCCCAGTAAAGAAACAACCACCAATGTATCCTCTTCCTCTCCTTCAATAGAGACTTAACTCCATGTTGCTTAACTTTCTTCGCGAGATTTTGATCATTTGCATTCCTCTGTAGGAACGGTAAATAAAGGAACAACGGAGGAAAATTGCATTTTCAACCCTAATTACTGCCTGAGAAGTTAATTGAAATACATGATTTGTGTTGTTCAAATACAAAATACAAAATGATTTCACTCTCATCTTTCGCAAGTCTTCTACGCGTGAATTTTGCTAAATTTATTAAATACAAAGCCTTAATAAGCATCTTATAATTCTTTTGTCACCACTTAAGTCATACAAAATTATCATGTTACGCAACGACGCCAAAAGCACAAACTCTCATCTTGAATCTTCAAGTCTGAAGACTGAAAAAAAAGGCATCAAATGGCTCAAAGTCACTGCGTATATGAAAATTTTTTTCGCAGTGAACAAATTTTGGTATTCACGTCATTATATTGAAATTGAAAATTATCACGGCAAAGAGTTGGGCAAAAAAAAGCGTCCGAAAACTAAATGGGTCAATGAATTGCTATTGGTCTGGCCTTGAATATTTCATGAGGAGATGGCAGATATTCGTACGCCACGAAAATGGTCGGGACTGGAAGAAGAATGAACAATGAAAATGAAACTGATGGTGAAAAAGAGGAGAAGCAAACAAAGGAGGAATTCAAGGGGCGACGGCGGAGCGGAGGAAGCAGAAATCATGGCGAAATGAGAGTCCAAATAAATGAGTCAATTTTTGCATTGGGAGCTCTGCGGACGGTCAGAAAAAAAAGAGAGTATATATGAAGAGTTGCTAAGTCAGAAAAAAATACAGACACCGCTCCCATTAATTCCACACAACACACTATTATACGGAGAGTAATTGCGAAATATTAGCCATGTCACTGGCTTAATTTTGCGGGTGTCCGAAATCATCCCTTCTCCTGGGGATTTGCCGCACAAAGCCATGAGTGAAAGAGTTAATCGAGCGCAAAGGTCAAAAGTTCACAGGTTTCACTCCCACTTCCGAAGTCCCGCAGAGATGATTTCATATATGTATGTACATATATGGCGAAAATTACACTGGAAATCTCTAATTGTGGACCGGAAAAAAAATTGATGAACGTCAGTGGAAAAATAATTACCAAATCCATTTCGACAAATGAAATCGATTCGGCATTACTTTCTCTCTCTCTCCCCCCCCCTTTAATCTCACAGCGCAGCTTTTTTCAATCAACCCTCACTAATTACTCAACATCAATCCGACGAGGTGGTCCTTCGTCAACCCTTCCATGCACTATGTGGAATCATCGCGTCGCGATCGATGAGTCCCACTATAATCACTAATAGATGCAATTACTCTCTAATTCACCACTTTTCCATTTGCCACCCAAACCCTCGGACGCACCATTCTTCAGCCTCAATCGATGTCAGTCCATTAAACTTGCTGCTCAATGGAAGGGACGTTAAAAGTGGACGAGATCTCATCCATCGCGACATATTTCATCGCGAAACACTTCTTATATTGCTTCTCTAAATCAACATTCAAGTTTCCTTCCAGTTCACTCAACACGTTACACTTTAAAGACGATCCTGAAATTTAATTTCTAATCCCCACAACAGACTCTCACTTCCAACCAAGGGGAAGATAATACAGTCAGAAGTGGTGTACTGCTCAACAGAAGTTCAACAATCCTTTTTGTAGGTTATGTTTTATAGAAATATCGCACGAAACCTCAAGTTATTTAGTGTAATTTGCGAATTTTTGTCGAAACAGTCTAAAATCTTGAAGTACCGGAAGTGTTATGAAGTGGTGTACAGATTAAGAGCATATTATCTCCCCCTTGCTACCAACTCTTTGTCACTTCACGGAAATATCGGTGAGAATTCGGTGCTAGGAGTAGTCTCTGCGGGCCATAAAAGGATGAGGATGGAAAATGTAATATGGAAACGAGATTGTAAGTCATCTTTGTGGAGCTGTTGCTTCTTTTGCCGCATCCCCACTTTGGACGGGAAGATTGTGTGTGTTTGTGTGTGTGCGGAGAAATAGAATATTTCATGAAGTGAAATGCAGGATGACTTACCAGCACATCTTCAGACATCCTCCAGCAGAAGCTCATAAAACATCTTTTCCATCCCCAGAGTGTCCCCACACCACGTCACACACAGTCACCCTCCCAACCCCCTTGGATGCTGTACAATTGCGAGGAAAATCCGAGCTGAGTGAAAATCCTCCATTCGCAGCACACTCTCTTGGTGTACAAAACTACATTAGGCTCATTTGGAAATCCGTTTGTGAATTTACGCCCCATTGCCAGAGTGATAAAATTTGTGTTTGATCAGGCAACACACAGGGGAGGATTCCGTGTTGCTCATCACCTTCGCTCATCGTGCCAACATCCCAGCGACACTTTTGCTCTTCCACTAAATTTCACTCATTTGCCAACCCTCGCCAAGCGACATCACAAGGCAACCCTTGCCAATGTCGAAACTCATCCCTTTGACTGGGTGTCACGTGTAGAATCAATCAAATTTCACACTATGGAAATCACATTCTTAGACACCCTCAGATTTACACTTCATCGCCATTTTCCACTTGATCGAGGGAAATATTGTATGGCGAAATCGGGATTTTCAATCTTCAGGCGCATTTTCTAATGCCTCAAATGAAATTCCCATCCCTTAAATTCCACAACAAAACAGTGATGGGAGATTATCTCAACTTAATGTGGAGTTATTTCAATAAATGAATCCATAAAGTGATTTCGGACTTGCCGAAGCGGAAAGCGGGAGATGAATAAATTATGTGTTTTATTGGGTCACTAACATTCAGCCGTGACTTGTTGACTTGATTTAGGGCCCCGCCGTAAATCTCACACCTTCTGGCTGTTATGACACGTGGAAGTGAAAGACATTATCGACAAGGAATGTAAATATGCGCCAGAGCAAAAATAGTGGAAAGTGCTGCAACTCTCCACACTTGTTTTCAGATACACACAACACACAGACATCACACAGAATAGGTTCTTTGGTCTGCATACATTTCATACCCGGTGATTTTCCATTTGAGTGTAGAGCTTGGGAGTTAATGAGGAACGAGTCACAGTCAGGTGGTCACCAGAGAGTGGGAGAATGCGTCGATTGGAGGCAACATTCTCCGGCATTTGGAGAGGAGAGGAGGAGGAACATCGAATGCCACATCCGCTGCCCCTTGCGTCACCTGCTAATGACTCGGGATTGTCCAGGTCTCTGGATGTTCGCCATCAAAGGCATTCCATGCCCTTGTGGTGCACAAAGGCACTTATATTGATAACAACCATGCACTGACAAGGTGTGGGTGTGAAATTCTTTGTCGCATTATATCTCGTGAATGCTGTCCCTCAATCCAAATACCCACAATTTCCCTGTTCCACATCAAATCCCTGAGATTCTTGTATAGAATATAGTTTTTGAAAGATTCTTCCGTCGAGTTGAAAAGAAAACCACTTCAAGGGATGTGAATAAATCAAGATCAACGTTAAATAATTCTTTTTTTCTC